AAAAAAAAAAAAAAAAAAAGAAAGAAAGAAAAAAGAAAAAACGTGGCGCTGCCAGTGAATAATCCACTTAAAGTCCCATGTTATCAAGTACTGATAAAACAAAGATACTCCCTGAGAGGAGAATTTGGGCATATGACAAGTTGCTTTGGGATCTAACTTCAGACCCATTGGGTTTATTAAGTCTGAACAATACAGGCCAAAATCATCTCCAAAGTCCAGCTCTGACATTCTTAATTCAATTATAGCTAAATCTGTGAATGAAAGGCTTCACACGCCCAGTGCTCTTAAAGGATGAAGGGATGAAGGCGGTTGGGGAAGCCCCTCGAGGGCTCCAGGTGGGGTTTTCAGGCGCTTCCCTGGGCAGAAGGCCCCAGGCCTCCGCCTTTGCCGCCTACTCCCCGCCCAGCCAGGGTGTTTGCAGCCGGCGTTGCCGGGCACTTCCTCGTTCCCGTTCCCGCGCGCAGCTCCCTACGCCCAGCGCCGACGCTCCTGGTGCGGGAGGGGGCCAGAGGAGAGATGTCGCAACCGCCTCCCTCCCCCTTTCCCCGCCTTGGCACCCAGTCACCTCCCAGATGAGCGCTCTCAGACCGCTGCCGGCCGGCGGACGCCCGGCATGTCCCTTGAGTGCGCGCAGGCAGCGAGGGCTGGGTCCCTGCGCAGCCTGGAACTAGCCAACCGCACCCGCTTCCCCTTTTTCTCCGACGTCAAGGGCGACCACCGGCTGGTGCTGAGCGTAGTGGAGACGATCGTGCTGGCTCTCATCTTTGCGGTGTCGCTGCTGGGCAACGTGTGCTCTCTGGTGCTGGTGGCCCGCCGACGGCGCCGGGGCTCCACCGCCTGCCTCGTGCTCAACCTCTTTTGCGCGGACCTGCTCTTCACCAGCGCTATCCCTCCGGTGCTGGCAGTGCGCTGGACCGAGGCCTGGCTGCTGGGCCCGGTCGCCTGCCACCTGCTCTTCTATGTGATGAGCCTGAGCGGCAGCGTCACCATCCTCACGCTGGCCGCCGTCAGCCTGGAGCGCATGGTGTGCATCGTGCGGCTGCATAGCGGAGCGCGCGGGCCTGGGCGGCGGGCGAGGGCGGCGCTGCTGGCGCTCATCTGGGGCTACTCAGCCATCGCCGCGCTGCCCCTCTGCGTCTTCTTTCGCGTCATCCCGCAGCGGCTCCCGGGCGCAGACCAGGTGAGCGCCCTGCACTGCGCGCGGGGCAGTTGTCCTGGGCGGGCCGGGAGGCGGGGATCCGAAAGACGTGGTGAGATGGGGATGATGATGATAAGCAACAATAGCCCATTTGTGGTGCTTAAAAGCGTGTGGGTCCCTGTCCCACTGCTGTAAAGTTCAATCTCTTAAATTTCACTACCACCCAGCGAAAACGTCCCTGGAAACGCTGTCGGTGAAGTCCCACAGATTCTTGCAAAATGTACGGACTATTGCGAGGTTATTTAAATAACCAGGATCTTAGGAGCCCTACAGAACTTCAGGGTCTTGAACTCTGATTTCTTGTAGGGTATTACAGTCCTGTTATTATCACACCCACTTTACAGATAAGAAAGCTGAGGCACACCAGGGAATAATTTGCCCGGGGTATCTCAGCCACAGTTGGAGAAGGAACTGAATTCCGGCCCGTAAGCTTCTGCGCAGGTTGGCTCTGCTTTGGAAACACGCGGGCAGGCAGTGCGAATTAGTTGGGGAGAAAGAGCACTGGAGACCGGGGGACCTCAGACTCATACTGCCTGTAAGGGGCTGGTGACTTCCTGTCTGGGATCCTCAGTTTTTCCGACTACAAGACGGAAGGATTACACTAGACCTCAAGATACTGAGACCCTGCCCTGAGAGCCTTGGACGGGTGGCTACAGGATTTCCAGGCACCTGGAGTGTTGCTCAGGTGCCAGTGGCTGGGCAGATACGCTTTATTCTGGGTAGCTAGGCCACGGTTGTTATTAGACCTTGGGGTGGGGTGGAACGTGTCCATGATCTATTTCCATGGACAGGGTAGGACATTGGCTCGGGTTCCCTTGGAGAGTCTCACAATCGGGAATTCCGAGCTGGGTCTGTTTCTGTTTCAGCTCCGTGGTTGAAGGATGCTGAGATGCACGTAGGACACCAGACCTGGGTGCTGAGTCAGTGGTGGCCAGTCTGGCTGTCTTCCCAGTGCCCGTGGTTCTCCGTGCCTGAGGTGGGTGGGGGGAGTCCAGGAGGACCTGCCTGGAGGCTGGATTCTTGCTCTCTTTCCTTACTGAGGTCACTAGCCCCAGGGCACCAACACTGGAGTACTCCCTCCAGCAAGGAGTGTGGGGTGCCCTGTGCAATCTTGGCACAAATGAGAGCCACAGTCTCGAAGACAGGCCCTCTCAGTGATCATAAGAAGGAGGTAGGGAGGATGCGGGAGTGAGATGTCTGGGGGAAGACTTCCCACTATGCAAATGAGCACAGTGGACCAGAAACACCCCTGGGTGTGTAACCCCCAGAGCCTGGACACAGTGGACTTCTCTATCACAGTGGACTTCTTTCACACAGGCTTTTATTGAGGGGGTCGGGGGAAGGATGGAGAATACATCCTGTATAAGCGGTATCTTTTTTTTTTTTTTTTAACATAAACTAAACCTGAGTCTGTTTCCAGTAGTTTATTTCTTGTGTGGATTACATCGTGAGATATTTGCTTATGTCTCTGCATGACTAACAGGCAGAAACCTTATCGGGCTTGTGATACTCGATCAAAGAACATATAAGCCACGGGTGGGGGGCCAGGAAAGATAGGATTAATTGAGCCTCTGGGTGCCATTTGCAGGGGCAGACCAGGGACTCTAGTTTGGTGGGCAGGCTTGTCCTTGTCAGCCCACATAGACCCTGAGAATCACGGAGGGCCACAGAGATGCTGCTAAAACACGTGGAAGCCCAGTCTTCACCCCACACCAATTGTATTAGCTCTGGCCAGGGCTCTGCCATCAATTTCTTTGATTTTTTAAGCTATTCTCTCACTGAGTTATGGTATTTCTGTACTTTTTTATAGATCTTAAAGGATTTCTTTTTTTTTTTTTAATACAGAAAAAATTATTGTTCAGGGAGTTAAAGACCAGATAAAACGTATCTTAAGTGTATCTTAAGCTTCTAGATATGTTTTGCATCTCTCGCTTTTATAATAGTTTCAGGCACAATCCTACTTTGTGGGAAAATAACACTAACAAATAAGGATCTTGTCACTTTCTAGCCCAAAGCACAGGTGCAACTGTGCTGACATAGACACAGGTGATTGTTTGCAAGAGAAGGCCTTGGCGTAGGTGGGGGGGACTGTCTGCGTCTTAGCCTTTTGGGACTTCACCCCTGATGTGGCGCCTGAGTATCTCACTACTTCCAGAATGGCCAGATTCATGTCTAGGTGCTTCCATGGAGGTCTGTATTATGGTGGCACTCAGACCCCTCCTGCTTTAATGAAGAAACACCACCTTGGTTTTAAGGGCCTTTGGAAAGGGATTTGGGCAAAGCCACTGGGAGACGATGAGCCTGCGCTGCACACTGGGGGCCAGCTGAGTTAGTTATCTGCAGGAGCCCTATTCATTGAAATTTCTAGAGGTGGGTAGAGGAGCTTGTAATGAAAAAAATGTGACAGTCCCTTCTGGCTCTTCATCTTTCTTGTCTTCCACCCAACCTGTCTGTCACTTCTACCTCCCCATCCATCTCTCTCTCTCTCACTCTCTCTCTCTCACTCTCTCTCTCTCTCTCTCTCCCACACACACACGCATACCTGCCAAGGAAGCCAAGGAGAAAAACTCTCCAGTTCATCAGGGACTGCTGCCTGAGCATGTAGGAAACATCCTATGTTATAGGCTCAGCAGTTGATGAAGTAAGTTGAAAAGAATGAGAGGGTAAAAGGGGAGTGTGGTCACTTAAAAAAAGAGACAAAGAAGGGTCTGGTCTAGACTGAGTCTCATGTTTAAAATTAGCAAAGGCTTGTTTTTTTAATCCTCATATTCCCAGCTTCCTGCTTATGAATTCTGTCTGCCCCATCCCAGTTGGAGACTAAATCTGGAGGTTTGAGATGGGGGATATTTCCCTATCCAAACCACATGGCTAGAGAACCAACTAAGACGGGTTCCCTCCTGAAGGAGTGCTGGCCAGAGAAACACTACCCGTTAGAACTTTGTGCTGACCAGAAAGACCCCTGAAAACAAGAACTTGGTCTCTGTCTATGTAGGCTGTGGCTGCCTAGAAGTCCCTGATAATCAGACTCTAAAACTTCACTGAAGGGATGATGAAGTGATAGACACGCCAGAAATGCTAGGCGATGTGGGATTTTCGGGGTGGGCTTTGGAGTTTGGATTCCATCTCTGCCGGTTAGGGGCTGCATGACAGGGAGCAAGCTGTCGGACCTCTCGATACCTCACTTTCCTTGTCTGTAAAGTGGCGTGGAAAGAGTATCAGCCTTATAGGATTGTATGGGGACTAATGTTCGGTAAATGGGTCAACCCTGGCACATACACAGTTAAGAGCATAAGAATTGCTCACTATTCTTAGTTTCCTTATCTTTGGGTATAAACATTTTAAACATTCTTTAAACAGTATAATTCTTCTGATTGCTATAAAGTAACAGACTTCCATTTTAAGAGAGTGGACACATCCTGGCAACAGTGACATCTCAGCCAGGTCCGCTTACCCTGCTCCAATGAGATTCCTGCCCGTGTGTGCTGTGGCCCTGGCTAGGCGGTGACCCACACTGACGGGTGGGGAAGACTGTCCACTCCAGCCAGAATGTGCTGCCCATTCATTCTACAAACATTTACTGAGCACCCCTCCCCTCTCGGCCCTGCCACAAGTCACGTAAATGTACCTCCTTCTCTTCCTTCTCATCAGGAGGTACATTTATCAAGCACACAGATGGTCCCAGATCCTGGCCGAATTGGTCCTTACAGTGACTCCATGGCTAGGTGGTTTTTTTGTTTGTTCACTTGTTTTCTGAAGAAAATGCCAAAAGTCACAGAATGGACAAAGGATGGAACCAGAATTTAGCCCCGCCCTGTCTGTTTCCTCTGGGTGTCATCTCCCAGAGACTCGCACTTCCTGAGAGCACTTGGTTCTATGCTTCGCCCAACCCTGGTTTAATTCCAGCACGAGAATATTCTTGTGTCTACTGAATGTGGATCATCTGAGGAGACAAACGCAGTTTGCTTCCCTTTGCTAGTATTAGAGGATACTCTGGCATATGAGAAAGTCCATCTTTCACACTGACGTTTTCTTTCTTTTCTGTTGGGAAGCTGATAGGAAAGCAAATATCCAAATAGGACTCCTAGTTCCTTAAAATGACTGTGAAGTCTTCCATTTTGTTGCTGGAGGTAGGGCAGGAAGAATGACTTCCGAAAGGGTCCCCGGGGGTACTGCAGGAAGACTCCTCTGGGAAGCTGGCAGGAAAACAGCTGGGATGGGGCGGCATCTTCAGGTGCGCCAGCCAGCGTGGGAAGGAGCCCGCACTTGAGCAGAGCCTGTAGAGACACATCCCCATCCACTCAGAAAATTCCAGAACTGGACAATTTTGTTATGAGCACCTAATATGTGCCTGGTGTAATTCTAGGGATGCTGCCTCAAGTAAGGCTTAGTCCCTGCCCTTAGTAATATGCTTTGCTGGGGGACCCAGATAGGACAGGCTGAGAAGTCTGTCCGAAAAGACTTTTCCAGTTCCTGGGAGCTGGGAAGTCTACAGGAGGCAGTGATGTCTCCACTGAGCGTGGACCGGAGAGGAAGTAAATCACGTTAGGCCGTAGGGACCACAGAGGCATCACAGGCCCACATGGAGGCCAAAGGGGCACTACTGTTCAGAGCCCTGCAAGGGGTCCTCAGCCAGGCTTGTGTGGATCATGGGGGACAATGGGGATGATAGAATATGCGGAAGGGTTGGCAGGAGTCAGGAGAAGGGCAGGATGAGGGAGCTTGACCTCCCCTGGTGAGAGATGGCCAATCTTGTGGGTAGACCAGAGGGGATGAGATAGGTGGGTGGGCTGGGTGACTGTGAAGGAGGAACTCAGAGGTTCCTTCTGAGTGAGGAGGAGGAGGGTGCAGAAGCCTTTGTGTGGGTCTCTGGCAGCTTGGAGAATGGTAGCTCCATGCCCTGATTTGGAAAGGACAAGAGGTGGAATAATTTGGGGTGGGACCTTCAAAGCCTAAAAGGCCTGTTAGGCATCCTGCTGAGATGGCCTCATGGCAGTGGGGTGAGTCTGGGGTTTGGGAGGGCACTGGGTTGGAAAGAGTAGATTGGAGCTTCATCTGCTCCAGTGGAGATGGATGAGATGGCCCTGTGAAGTTTCAGATAGGGCAGAACACACTTGGGGCATCCAGATCACATTCAACTCTTTACTATATGTTACCTCTCACCTTTGTCCCATCTAGTTAGTGACCCCTGAGCTCCAGCCTCCCCATACCTGTGGTCATGGTCCCTCCAGGCAGAGCTGAGACAGTCCCTCTTGGGTGACTCCCCACTCCCTGGTCATCCAAAGCTCTCTGTGCACTTCTAGCTCCCTGCCCTGTCCTGAATTTTCCTGGTGCTTCTACTCTGACTCCTAGAGGACAGGAACGGGGCCTTGCTTGCCTCCATGTGGCTTCACAGTGATCAGTCACTGTAGCTGAGGTCAGTGAGTGGTTGAGCGAATGAATTAAAAAAGACTGTGGTTGACTTGGCCTGGTGTGTGAAGTTACAAGACAATCCTGCTATTTTACTGTTTCAATTTCCTTTCTAAAATTAGGAAACATTCAAAATGTGCAGAGAAAGTACAGAGGATACGATAACACTGGGATCCCCATCTTCCAGAGTTGACACGCGGCCTAACTCCTCTAACAGTCACAGCCTGCAGGGGAGTACCTAGGATCAAAATGACTCAAGCCAAGGCAGGGCATGGTGGCTCACCCCTGTAATCTTAGCACTCTGGGAGGCCAAGGTGGGTGTATTGCTTGAGCTTAGGAGTTCAAGACCACCCTGAGCAAGAGTAAGACCCCCATCTCTAAAAATAGTTGGGCATTGTGGTGGGTGCCTGTAGTCCCAGCTACTTGAGAGGCTGAGGCAAGAGGATCACTTGAGCCCAATAGTTTGAGGTTGCTGTGAACTATGACACCACAGCACTCTACCAAGAGTAACAAAGTGACCAAAAAAAAAAAAAAAGAGAGACTTAAAAAACCAAATAGATTTTCCCATAGAAACAAAGTTATGGGCCAGGCATGGTGGCTCATGCCTGTGATCTCATCACTTGGGAGGCTGAGGTGGGTGGATTTGTAGAGTTCACAGGTTCAAGACCAGCCTGAGCCAGAGTGAGACCTCATCTTCAAAAAAAAAAAAAAAAAGTTGACATTGTGTCAGGCACCTGTAGTCCCAGCTACTTAGGAGTCTGAGGCAAGAGAACCTCTTGAGCCCAGGAGTTTCAGGTTGCTGTGATACCATGCCATTCCACCAAGGTTGACAAAGTGAGACTCTGTCTTTAAAAAAAAAAAAAAAGAAAAGAAACAAAGTTATGATATCAGCTCAGATGTCAATGGGCATAGTGCCTGTAATTTTGTTTTTTAATGAGAGCAGATGGTGCATTTAATCAACAATATAACAATATCATAGAAAGCCTTCTATAGAGCATATAAATCTATCCTCTAGGCATCCCCCCATCCTGGCCAGTCTCAATGCCTCTCATGTGGGGTGAGTTCATGTGTGGGGTGCGGGGTTCAGTCCTTATGTGACTTCCTTGTCGCACTCCTTGCCTGCAGTGAGAGCCAGAAATCAAAAGGTGAAAGAGCACCTTCACTAAATTCATGGAATTTGGGAAACTTCCTGGGATGGGTTGAAAATAGCTGGTTAGGTTTACTGAACTATCATGGAGATCAGTGTTTGTTTCATGTCTGATCATCATTTCTCCTCGAAATGAACTTTTTTTTCCTCTTAGAAAAGTAAAATAGGCATGTCATGGAACAATCTGAAAATTCAGATAAGTTAAAAGAATAAAAATAACTTAGAGTCTCACTTAGAAACAGATGCTGTTCCGTTTCTGCAGTGTATCCTTTCAGTTGTTTATCTTTGTGTGTTGGGTGTGTACATACTTGTTCACACATACACTTTCTTCAACACTTAGGCCACAGATGCACATGGTTTAGGGACCTGCTTTTCTTGTTTTACCCCCAAGGTAGAGAGAGAACCTTGCTCTGTCATTACACATTCTCGCCAACCCTAGAGAGATTTTGCCAGTCTGGAGAAGGCTTTTGGAAAGAGTTGGGGTCTGAAGAAATAAGTGGTCCTGGGATCACCTGTGTTTCTGCTGCCCCTGTACAGTTTGCCATCGCAAGTATAGAAATTAGAGACCAAGTCACGTTTAGGTCTGTGATCCGTTTCTTCTGGTTGGCACTTTGCCATATCTGCCCATTTGTGTCGTCCCCAATGTACTGAAACGAGGGGTCTCTTGGGGGCCGAGATCTGAGCACAAGGCGGGCGCGGCATAGATTTTCTGAAGGGCAGGGCAGCAGCTTCCTTGTCAGTATTCAGAAGATCCTGGAGAGCCCCAGTCTCTTTCCAATCGCCAAAATGTAAACAGATTTAATACACTGTCTCCCACCATGCGTGGATGGTGGGGGTAGGGGGACACATTTTTAGGATGCCCAGTCCATTCATGAGGCATCTAACACAACGGGAAAAGGAAGAAATATCCTCATCCCCCTTTTCAAGGTGCAAATATAATGAAAGGCTTCTTCCTGCTTGTCTCACTTTTGAGTTTTCTTGGTAAGTCCCTGGAACCACGTTGCTCTTTGGAGAAAACATTGTATGATTATAAACAACCACACCTTTAGAGTTTTAGATGATTATTTTAAGAGGAAGTCCTAAGCCTTAGTTTCCTTTTCTGTGAAACAGGAAAAGTAATAATATGCACTTCAATGAGGCTGTTGTGAGCATTAAGTGTGATAATGTATGTCAAATGCTTCCTGGTATACGGTAAATGCTCAATGAATGTTAGATGTTTTTACTTCCTGTTAATCCTGAGGAAAATGAGTGACTGTATTTTGAGTTTGACCACCCAATTATGATACACGGTGGGAAATGTTAAAAATTCTTTGCTTTTGCCTAGGATAGCTTTCAATAAATAGTGGTCAAATGAATGAATGGACGAATGGTGCTATGGATGATAGTATTACTCTTGGATATGGTTATGATGCCTTTTCCACCAAAAATCAATTATGTGGTCTTTTTTATAGAGCATCTGCTCTTAAAAATCTGTTCTATATGTCTGGAAGTGTTTAGGCAATTCGTTTTCTTTTATTATTTTTTAATTAAAAATTTTTTTTTATTGCTTGGGATTCATTGAGGGTACAAAGAATTAGGTTACACTGATTGCATTTGTTTAAGTCCCTCTTATAATTGTGTCCCACCCCCAAGAGGTGTGCCATACACTGTGACCCCCCTCCCCTTCCCTCCTACCCTTTCCCTACCCCTTCATTCCCCTACCCCACCCCTTAACTCATCTACTGCCTTCATATCAGAATTGAGTACATTGGATTCTTGCTTCTCCATTCTTGTGATGCTTTACTAAGAAGAATGTGTTCCACCTCCATCCAGGTTAATACAAAAGATGTAAAGTCTCCATCTTTTTTAATGGCTGAATAGTATTCCATGGAATACATATACCACAGCTTGTTAATCCCTTTCTGGGTGAGGGCATTTAGTTTGTTCCCACATTTTGGGCAATTCATTTTCTGAATAGTTCTTTATTAATACCTACCGTGAAGTGAACATAGGCAGTTTGTATGTGGACAGTTTGTATACCCACAGATTTGTCTATTTTCATTGACTTATTTATTCATTTTATGAGATTATTGCAGCCGCTATTCATAACTGTTCAGTAAGGTCTCCACCTGTTGTGGGTTTTATAGTTAGTGTTAAGCATTTGAATCAACACAACATAGAGGTATCAGCAAGATCACAAATCTTCACGCTCTTCTGCCGCATACCAGTGGCTTTACATCTTGAACTGACTGAGAGTTGTGGCTGATCCCGGCGTTGAGGCTCTGAATGGCCAGGTTCTTTAATGCAGCTTGACACACTGTAGATACCTGAACACTCCCCTTATGAACACTTAATGCCTTAGCACGCGCCCCTGTTGCCTTTAGTTTACACGTGACTGCTCTGAAACCTTCTTCCTGTAGTCACGTGGGTATGTGTAGCATGTCCCTTCCAACTGGTGTAACCTTTCAGGGGTCCATTTTCTCCTTTGCAAAATGGCAGGAGTGGAAGAGAGGGCTCAAAATCTCTTTGCACCTCAGCCCAAGGAAGTAGGAACGCCATGCTTGGGAACTGATATCCAGCCTACGATCCTGAGGCTTAGTTGCCTTCCCTGGAGGACAAGAATAATATAATAACTATGGTTATTGCCAAGATCAAAGGGCAGTACTTTGTGAGTATATCATGGCAAATGGTGGGAAGGGTGCTGGGATGGCTGTCTTGCCATCTGTGTAACAGTGTAATGCAACAGTGTAGCAGTGCCAGGTGACCCTAAAGGCCACATAAGAAGCCAACAGTTAAATGATGTTCTTTCCTTTTCTGTGACTAGGAAATTCCAATTTGCACCCTGGTTTGGCCCACCATTGCTGGAGAAATCTCCTGGGATGTGTCTTTCGTTACTTTGAACTTCTTGGTTCCGGGACTGGTCATTGTGATCAGTTACTCCAAAATTTTACAGGTATGTTTGCTTCAAGTGCTGCGGCTGAATTTCACTCCAGCTTGGGATATTTATGCTAGAATCTTAGAATTGGGGCTTGGAAGATACCTAAGAATTCACTGCCGGCTAGTCCTGACTCACTGCCTGGGTCTACCCCTGCAACACTGAGGAATGAGAGTTGTTTGTTTTTTTTTTTGTTTTTTTTTTTTTTAAATAAGGGATATCTTTCTGATTGTTATTTTTTTACTCATCATTAAAAATTAAAATGTGAACAGACACAGACATGTATAACCCAGAATCTGAAAACTCACTTCTATCCCCGTTCTTAACAACTCAAGGTGTATTTTTCAGGTTATTTTTTCCTAGACATTTATATATGTGTCATGCCTATTCTGTGTGTGTGTGTTTGATGGACCACATGAACTTGCAGATTAAAATGTTCAGCTGGCTGTTCAACACAGCTCAATGTGACATTCCGTTCAGGCCCAAGGTGATGCTCCCTGCCCTGTGATTTCCTTTTATCATTTCACGCCGCGTGCTCACATCTTTCCACATCATTCCTATATCATTAGCTCATTACTCTTAGTGGCTGCAGATGTGACATCACTTATTTTATGGACTTTGTTACTGCGTCCATTGTTTCCCCATCACGAACACTGCACTGATAGAGAAGTAAACTTTTAAAAACTTTTTATTGAAGTGTCATATACATATGGAAAAGCACACCCAGAAAACACGTCCAGCCCACAAACCGAACCTGCCCACGAAAGCAGCCCCCAGAGGGAGAAACAGAATTGCCAGAAGCCCCTTTCTGTTACCTTCCAATGGGTAGCCCCCAGTCCCAGAGAATGTCCCTTTTAAACACGCACTGAAATAGGAAATGATCTCTGCTTTCAAAACAAGGATATCCAGGGACATAAAAAAGAAACGCTAGCCTCCATTTGCTACCTCTTAAGTCAGCCCATTTGTAGGTAAAGTACTGGCCCAGGCAAATGCCATGTACGTATTTTATGCCCAGAAGACTGAACACAAAGCCTGTGGTCCCCTTGGAGGTTTATTAGCTGTTGAATCTTGGTTTTATGGCACATTATATATGGGTCATCTGGCAGATAGGTATACTGAAGTGGTGCACTCTACGTTGTTTGCTGTCTGGCCACTTTTATGGCCCTTTCTTTATAGCTGAGGATCTGTGACCTTCTTAGATACTCAGAGCCAAAGCCAGACCAACCTCTGTGCAGGTCTGCTAATCCCTGGGTCCTATGGGGGATGGTCCCCGTGTTATGTTACTGCCTGGACCCATGCCCAGAAGATGACTTCCTACCCCTAAAGCGACGCCCATTCTGGGACTCATTCAAGTATAGGAGGCTGATTCAGGCCTGGAGGTAAGGTCTGGAAAGTGCTTGCAGTGGGCACCTGGCATTAGTTAATGCTATGTGAGTGTTAGTTGTTATTATTTAATTGAAAGGCAAGAAGTGAAAGAAAAAGGAAAGGAAATGTAGAATGAATTTAGAAAATTTTGTTTAACAAACATTTCTGTAGTGTTTGCCATCTGTCAGAAACTAACTCATTTAATCCTAATAGAATTACAGAAAGTTAAGTAACTTACACATCTTGTCAGTGGCAATATCAGGATTTAAAGCCAGGTAGTCTCATCCCAGAGTCTCAACACCTTAATTCCTCTGACATTTGTTGAGAGCCTGCTCTGTGCAAAGTAGGAGTGAAGGTGGGTTAAAATCGGGCAAGGCATATTCTCTATCCAGAAGGATGTTTGGCATAGGAGGGGAGGAGGGAGGAGACAGACAAGGGTACTGCTGTTCAAAGCAGAGAAATCCCAGAACATAAGGTGTAATGATACTGAAATTTTGAAAACACTTCGCAGACTGTTAAAATGTTATACAAATGTCAGGGAGGAATAAGGGGTATAAGAGAGGAAAGCAGGGTCATGACGACAGACACTGAAACTTAAGGGGGCTCTTTTAATAGCCTGGCTTTGAGTTTTGAATTTGCCACATACTTGCTCTGTGGCCTTGGGCAAGTTACCTACCCTCTCTGAACCTTGGTCTCTTCCCTCATTTGCAAAATGGCACTCATGCTTCCTATGGTGTAAGGTTGTTGCAAGGCATGTAAGAGATGCCACTGGTGGGACATATGGTGTCATGCCTGCCTGTTTCGGGCGATGAATACATTATGGCTGCTTTACTTGTTAGGCAAGGCTGCTCTTCTAGCCCTTCTCTTAGGATATGCTGGGGGAAAGGTGTCACTGAGAATTTCAAGAGAATAAATAGCAGGCATGGATTTGGAGCACAGCAAGAATAAGGAACCCACACTGGAGGAGGGCTGTCGGGAGGGGGCAGCAGCATTTGACCTCCCTGACTCAGGTTCCACTCCTGAGGCCCTTAGGGACCCAACAGGCTCTGATCTGCCCCCTTCCACTCATGCCTCACACTTCTCAGCTGGCTGCTGACAGAGGAATGATTTCCCACCCACTCCCCATCTTTTTCTCAGGGACAGGGCCCATCTAGAAAATTTCTAGGAGACCTGATGAGCTGGGGCAGATGTGCTCTTATCTGCTTATCTCCAAACAGCAGTTCAACTCCCAAACCCTTTCATTTAAGCCCACAGCTGCCTTCCGTTCTCACCGTCACAAACCCCATGACCGTTCCCGGCTGCACCCTTCCCAGGGCTGTGAAGTGGTGCCCTGAGTAATGAGTCAAGGTATAACTTCCCATCACTGCAGCGCAAGTGCAGCTTAATCTAAAGCCCTCACCTTAGCAGTGCTTCTCAACCTTCCTAACGCTGTGACCCTTAAATACAGTTCCTTATGTTGTGGTGACCCCCAACCATAAAACTACTTTAATTTGATGTGACCCTTTAATACAGTTCTTTATGGTTGGGGTTCACCACACACGAGGAACTGTATTAAAGGGTCGTGGCATTAGGAAGGTTGAGAACCCCAGGCCTCCATGACTGGCCCTGCCTGTGTCTCTCACCTCAGCATCTCCGCCCTGTGTCCACGCTGGCTTCAGGGCTTTTCTGTCCATGGGCTCACATACTGCTGCCCATGGGCCTTTGCACCTGTAATTTCCTCTCCTGGATCTCTTCCCTACTTCATTCAGGTCTGTACTCAAAAGGCTCTTCCCTAGAAAGGCTCCCTGTCAATCTCCAGTCCCTTATCCAGATTTATTTCTCTTCAGTCACAAGGCCAGCCATGTTCCATTTATGACACTCATCTGTCTTGCCCAGTCCACTGCAAGTTCCATGAGGGCAGAGACTTTGTTTTGCTCTCTGCCATATCCCCATGCCTAGAACAGAGCCTGGCTCACACATTGTTAGTCTTTTTTTTTTTTTTTTGAGACAGAGTCTCAAGCTGTCACCCTGGCTAGAGTGCTGTGGTGTCACAGTTCACAGCAACCTCAAACTCTTGGGCTTAAGCGATTCTCTTGCCTCAGCCTTCCAAGTACCTGCCACAATGCCTGGCTCTGTTTTGGTTGTAGTTGTCATTGTTGTTTGGCAGGCCTGGGCTGGATTCAAACCTTCTAGCTCTGGTGTATGTGGCTGGCGCCCTAGCCACTGAGCTATAGGTGCCAAGCCTGTCAGTCTTAATAGATAATTGTTGAATGAGTTGGACACAAGCTTTGGGCTTTCTCTTCTTGGGCAATGGAAAAACCACGGACAGAGAGTCATAAGACCAGGTTCAAAGCCAGGCTTTGTTACGTTTGACTTGGGCAAATGGCTCACGTAATGTGGGCCTCTGTTTCTGCTATCTGCCTCGGTAGATTAACTCAATGAAATGAAAGAGCAAGCATCATAACATTTCAAAAATCACCATGTTAATGCAACTATAAAACTTTAAAAATACTTGCCACACCACTGGCAAACTGTTGCCATTTCCCAGGGGGACCATGACATTTGTCCTAAATCCCTGCCCTCCTTGCTGGTTCTGACCCGGGCAAGGACTCAGAGCAGGTTCACCTTGGCTTTTCCTCTGACAATCACCCTTCAGCAGCTGCTTCATGTGCCTGGGGCAGTGGCTTTATTCACCCTTCTGCCTGGCCTGCTTCCTCTTTCCTTGTGACTCAGACAGGTCATACATCTTCAGTGGTTTTTCCACCCAACAGTTTTCCCAAGGGAATAGCCTCTCGATCGGGCTATTGGCACTGGCTGTTTGGGGTTTACATCATCGCCCAGCAACTGTTGCCATGGCGAGCGGAGATGCCTCTGCCCTTTTCAACCATGTGGGTGTTAATTCTTCTGCTCCCCTTGCCCACATACACACTAGAGTGGGAGAGCCATGTGGGCAGGTGCCCTTGCTCCTCGCTGCATGTCCAGCACCAGTAGACGTGCTTAGCACAGAGTACAGGCTTGATAGATATCTGTGAAGGAGTGTCGGAGACTCTTCACAGGTGGAAAACCCTAGGCTGTCTCAGAGCTTAGCTGAGAAAGAAAATCGGTTGCAGCCAAACGTATAGATGTCAGGCCATGAACGCACAGCCCTTGTCAGTGTCTGGCTTTCCTTCCCCGGCACTGGGGGCCTGCGTGCCAGTCAAGGACAGGGAGCTGGACCCTCTGGGGAGAAGGAATCTCTTGTCTGATGATTCTGTTTGGGGGACTGTTGATGGACCAAATGGCCCCTGCAGAAGACTCAACCTTTAGGACCCACCTGTGTCAATGGGAACATCCTCTGCTTGCACCAGCTCACCCCCTCAGCAGCCATGGGCTGGTGGCAGGTTGTGGCCAAGGGGTGTGAGATGGAGAGAAGCTTCCTTTGTGGATGTGAAGGCACAAATCTCAAAAAGGGCTCTCTTCGAAGGACTGGAGGAGGCGCTAAGACCAAGTGTGAGGTCCTAGATTAGTAATTCTCACACTTGGGTGAGGAAGAACTGCCCAGAAGTGCAGATTTCTGGGCCCCACTCAGCCCCCAGGGCCCCAGCATGTGTACTTTGCTGTGTGCCCAGTGGCTATGGACCACATTCCCAGGAGCATCACCCCTACTCCGTAGCGCGTGCCTCCGAGAGGAGAGCACTGGTGCTTCTGTGTGAGGGACACTCCCAACACTTGACCGTGAGGCTTGAGCAAGCTGCCTCACCTCTCAGAGCCCTCCCCTTAGTTCCCAGACTGGAGTAGCCATAGAACCAACCCCAGAGAACTGGTTTTGAGGATTAGAGTTGATCCTCAAAAGTGAATTGAGAATTTAGTTTAATCAAAAAGCACAGCAAGCATTCTGCCCTATGTCAGGAGACATTTGAAAGCCTCATGGGAGCAGGGGAGGACCCACATTTGAATTCAAAACCCAGTTTTCCTCCTCACTCCCAGCAAGTTGTGGGAACTGTGGAGAGAAGGAAACAGGAGCATCTGTCAGTGCTAAAAAAAGATTCCCATTTATGCACTTGGCCATGAGTCAGCCCACTTTGTCTGTCTGTAGCTCACAGTCATCGTCAAGCACCTGCTGGAACTCTTGGCCACAGAGGGCAGAGGAACCTCCCACTTAAGGTCCTGGCCCCAGGGAGCCATGGTCTGGTGTGGGTCAGATATGAGGATGATGCTGGCATATCTACCATTCAGTGTATGCATCAAATGAGGCGTGAGGGCCTGAAATGAAATGCCTCTGAATGCCAGGCGGGAGATGAACCAGGAAGTCTTCTTGGAGTTCCTGATGTTAGAGCTTGGAGATGAGGGCTGGGAAGAAGGATTTCCGTAGTTGGAGATAGAGAGTGGGAAGGAATTAGATTAATGGGACAAACTCATGCCTCAAATCCCGGCACTTTGCAGGCCAAAGCAAAAGGATTGCTTGAGGCTGGGAGTTGGAGACCAGCCTGGGCAATATAGCAAGACCCTATCTCTATAAAAAAAAAAATTAGCTGAGCATGGTGGTGTGCACCTGTAGTCCTAGCTACTTGGGAGACCGAGCCAGGAAGATCCCTTAAGGCCATGAGTCTGAGGTTGCAGTGAGCTGTGATGATGCCACTGCACTCTAACTCCAATGACAGAGTAAGACTCTGTTTCAAAAAAAAAAAATTAAAAATTAAAAAGATTAAAAGAGTAGGCTGGAGATGGACGGCCAACTTCCTAGCTGGGTATGTTGGGCAAGTTCCTTAACCCCTTAACCTCTCTGAGCCTCAGCTTCTTCATCTGTCAAATGGGGCTCATCAAAGCACATATGTCACAGCATTGCTGGGAGAATTTAAGAGTAAGCCAAATGATAGGAAGGGGCTGGCACATAGTAAGTGCTCCATAAAGGTGAGCATCCGTCAACATCATTCATTCAAAACATATTTATGAGACATTTTACCAAGGAGTTTGGGCACATTGGTATTTTTCTCAGCAGGATAATGTGGGTGGTATGAGGAATCAGCCTTTGTGTACCCACCAGGCTGCTCTGAAGCTTAGAGTGACACCCCTGCTCAGAGGTGGGGCTGACTCCCCTTCACCTTGCCACCTGCCACTTGCCCAGCTGTCCTCTCCCAGATCTTTCAGCCAGTTCTCTCCACAATTCTGTGACATATGTACTTGATGTTGCTCATTTGACAGTTGAGGAAGTTGAGGCTCAAAGAGATAGGATTAGGCCTCCTGAGCAGCCCCCCTGCACAGCGGGGGGGTGGGGGGGGGCTGAAAGCTGCATAGTAAGGCAACTCCTTTTGAGTCTTTTGCGATATGGTTAATCTTTGACCAAACTGAGCTGTGTTTTCCCAGATGGGGGCTTTGACCCTTTATTATCAATGGAGTGACCTTCTGCAAGTTACTTAAATTTTCTGAAATTCAATTTCCCCACCTGCCAAGTATGAATAATAAGAGTACAAATCCCATGAGAGATGAAGCTGCTGCTCCCAAGAGTAGTTGTGAAGATTAAATATGACAGTTGATAAAACAAACTTGTAGCTGGCCCCACAAGCAGCCCTGGGCAAAGCTCAGAGATCCTGATTACTGTTATTCTTGCTGTTGGCAAGTTGCTGGGGAGGAAAGGAGCGTTCACTCCCGAACTTGGGGCAGACTGCCGGTGGTCTCCACCATCAACAGGTGGACCTAAACTACCAAATGAGCAAGGAGTCACTTTTAATCATAAAAAAATTAAATGACAATTCCTTAATTAGCTAGTTGGAAGTATTCTAAGGAGAATATTTGCAGCCATTCTGACCTGGGAGTTAAACTTGCCTAAATTGTGAGTGATGCTAATTACCTTCTAATTACATCCCCTCTAGAGATTCAGGAATCTTAGGGGAATGGGCCCTGAAGGGGGGGGGGGTTGTCCAGCACAGAGCCAACAAAAAGATCTGTGGCCAAATGGGCTCAGATGATGTAAGCACCCTCTGTGTGGCCAGCAGCCTCTTCCCGCAGGAAAAGGACACAGGTCAGATGGAGCAAACAGGAGTTAGCAGGGACCACTAACATGCTCAGGATGTTCTATGTCTGTCTCTTGCTTGGGGGCAGAGGTCACAGGCTGGCATGTCCCATTACATCCCAGGCTGGCTGTGCTCCTTCTGGACACCATCTCACCAGCCCCACTCCCACCCACCCACCTTTTGGCATCACAGAAGCTGAGCGATAGTCATCCCCCCAATCCCAGCTGTGCCTAGAATTAGAATCAGGCATGAGGAAGGACAGAACACTGTATGTGTCACTTAGCACCTGAAGGCTAAGCTCTGGACCCTGCCAGCCACTAGGGTGCTCAGTTCCAGCGCACCCACCACCCCAGGAGAGACACCTTCAATGATGTCCCCACTTCTTTCTCACAGACAGACTCAGCCTCCTGGGGCTTTTGCTCTGTGAGGTAAACACTCTCAAGCCTCCTGTTTTCAAAGTAGCTCGGCTAGCCTGTCTCCAGGAGGCTGTGTCCCCGCTGTACAATGAAAGGGTGGACCAGACCCTGACTCCACAAAGTGTGGTCCTGGGGCCAGCAGAAGCAGCAGCACTGGGAACAAGAAGCAAAAGAGGGTCTTCAGAATGCAGAAACTCAGCCCAGCCCAGACCCACTGAGCTGAATCAGAATCTACATTAAAATAAGACTGGGGAGCCTGGACGGCTTTCTGCCTTGCCTTCTGAGGAGTGCTGCTCAAATGACACTCCAACCTCTCACCTCTCACCCCAGCTCTGTGGTTCTGAGATGTTAGAGAGCTTTTGTATGATTCAAACACACTGTTTCTATCAGGTGGGATGAGAGGATGAGCAGGCATTTATTTTAATCTGGTCCTCCTGCCTCAGTTGCTGGGCCATTTCTGTGTCCAAGGCTGCCTACTGCCATCTAAAACCAGCCTCTGTGATGCTGAAGCAAGACTGTAAGTGAGCAGAGTATACAGGAGACCCAGGGAGGGACACGTGCAGGGGCTTTTAGAGAAAAATCCAGAGCCCTCTTCTAAACCCACATAACCAGGGTTGTGATCACTGGCCACAATCCTCCTGCCAGAACGTGTGCCCTGCTCATCGGTACCAAATATTAGAGGTCCCAGCAGTTCCTCTGTGAGGAATTTATTATGCATGAGCATGTTTGTTTTGCCAGTCTCCACCTCTTGACTTGAGGCATAAATATGAAAGTTCAACAAACGTCACCAGCAGGACTCTGATCACCTCCTCTTTCTCACTGGGGGAGGGAACCCTAATGACATCTATGTCTGCTTCTAGAACTTTCCAGTCACTGTTTGGTTATGACTGATTATTTCTGAATATCATTCTTATAGTCAGTTCAAAGCTTTCCCTGCCCACAGTATAGGATGGGCTTGCAGCACTGGGCTGGGAGTGGGGTGGAAGAGAAGAGTGAGCTGCCCTGCCCCCATCTCCTGCATGATTGTCCATGTGAGGTGGTCGCCCCCTTCTGTGGGTCATTGCCTCTGATTTCCACGTGGCTGGTGTTAACAGGACTTGCTGAGGAGGAGATTGTTCCCAAGCAGCACCCACCCCCACCAGACAGGGAGGGACTGTCCCGGACTCAGCTTCATCTTGGGGTTGACCCCACCAGCAACTGAGCAGCTTCTAATCCCATCATTCTCCCTTATCCCCCAACTTGAGGGCTGTAGGCAAGACCGGGACCCATTTCCTCCTGCCCCTGTGAAAGGGAAGGGCCCCAGGGTGGGCTCCACTGCCCCCTTCCACCTGACCCAGCCACACTGTTGTGCCATCTCCCACCACCTCTGCCCATTCAGCAACCTGCAGGGGAGTGAGGGGAGAGCAGGAGCTCTGCCACTTCAGCCACCACCTCCCCAAACAAGGCCAGGTAAATAAACTATATATCAGTAGGGGACTGGATAAATTGGGGCACAGCCACTCCATGAAATATATGCCGCCACGACCAGGATGATAAGAATGAGATGGCTTCACAGAGCTGATAGGAAACGCACTGTGATATATTGCTAAGTAGGAGAGGAGCAAGGGTCAGGGCAGGTGCGGGGTGTGGTCCCTCTGTGCACCAAACAAAACGACGGATACATGCAATCCCAAAGCCTGGTACATCACGTGTGGAGGTGGCATGTCTCCAGAAGGTCACCCAGGAAACTGCTCACTTTGGTCACCTCTGGGGAGGCTGAGACCAGATGCTCCTCATTTGCTTCCTGTCAACGTCATATTGTTTGAGTTAGTGCCCTGAGAATGCCTTGCTTGTGTGCAATTAATGACTTACCTCTCTTAGAAAAAGAAAGAACAGGGAAGATGTCCCTTTTATACACTATCTGATTCAGGCTTTTCACTCCCCCCATCAACCATTTACAAGGTGGGTAATTTTTGCCTTATTTCTCAAGAGATCAGCCAGCCGCCCCATTTCTGCAGCACATCCTATGTGCAGGCAGCGGGAGAAGGGAGAAGCTCCCTCCACAGGCAGTCCCCAGGCCCCATGGCCACAGTGCCTCGGGGATGGCAGGTTCCCACTCTCAGGCTCCTGATGCAAACAGCCCCGACATCCCACAGTAACCCGGGGCTCCCGGTCTGTTTTGGTTTCCCCAGATCACAAAGGCTTCACGGAAGAGGCTGACGGTGAGCCTGGCATACTCCCAGAGCCACCAGATCCGCGTGTCCCAGCAGGACTTCCGGCTCTTCCGCACGCTCTTCCTGCTCATGGTCTCCTTCTTCATCATGTGGAGCCCCATCATCATCACCATCCTCCTCATCCTGATCCAGAACTTCAAGCAGGACCTGGTCATCTGGCCGTCCCTCTTCTTCTGGGTCGTGGCCTTCACGTTTGCTAACTCGGCCCTGAACCCCATTCTCTACAACATGGCACTGTTCAGGAACGAATGGAGGAAAGTTCTTTGCTGCTTCTTGTTCCCAGAAAAGGGAGCCATTTTTACAGACACGTCTGTCAGAAGAAATGATTTGTCAATTATTTCTGCCAATTAGTTTTTCTCTACAGGCAGAGTTCCTCGCCCCCTGGCCAGCTGTGGTATGGCCTACAGGGACTTAATTTCCAGGACTGTCCACCAGTGTAACCTGCTTTAAGAAAATGTAACCTATGCAAATATGCACCTGCAGCTCTGGCAAATTAACGGATGATCGTTCAGTACACCAATATTTTCTCCTTAGAAAAGGATTCGTTATGGGTTCCTTTTAAACATGAACTTTTTTTTGTATGTTTGTAATATGATTGAATGTAATAAATTTTTATTTATAACTGTTCAGCAATCATACTGCCTACATGTTAAGCCACCCTTACTGGTTTCTGAAGTGAGTCAGGACTCAGATTTCTCTTCTAAAGGGTCTTAGCCGCCCTAGGCTCCCACCTGGGACTCATGAGGCCTTAAAATCATTTGTCCATGTCAAGAGCACTTGAGGGATTTCCAAGGAACAATTAAAGGTGACATTTTTTTCATTTATAAAAAAATGCCACGGATCCCTTTAGGAGAAACAGTGTCTTGAAATCAGAGAGACGGCAGGATGACTAATACATTTGAGAGTGAGGTCAGAAGGTGGTGCCTGTGGCTCAAAAGGCTAGGGCACTGGTCCATATGCCAGAGGTGGTGGGTTCAAACCCAGCCTTGGCCAAAAAAAAAAAAAAAAAAGAGGGTGAGGTCAGAAGTGCATCTCTTTATGGGTCCATCCATCAAGGCCTCTCAACCACCTAGCCTGGCAGACAGTGTTTTGGTGCTGGAATAGAGCTGTGAACCAGATAGCCACGGCCCCTCTCTCAGAGAGCTTACCTTCTAGTCTGGGGCAGAAGCACTAAATGGAAATAATAATTATTAATAATAATAATTTATTAATAACAATATGCCATCCTAGAGTGAGTAAATGCCTTGTAGAAACTGGGGCAGGGCCCTGGGGTAGTGATGGTTAGATAGGGTGGGGAGGGGTCTGCCAAGACTTTCCTGAGAAGTGACATTCTCGTTTGTGAGCGACAAGAAAGAGTCAGCTATGCCAGTCTGGGGAAGAGGCTTTGCAGGCAGAGGAGACACTGTGCAAGGCAGCTGGCATGCTTGTGGGACAGGAGGAACAGTGCTGCAAGCTGTTGGCTGGGCCTTCTCTACAATAGGCACTGCCCTTGAGCCTGGGACAGGGGTGCCCTGCTGGAGCACATCAATTGAGGCCAGAAATATTACAAGGTTGGATCATGTCAGGCCCGGAAGGTCGCTGTAGGGAGTTTATTCAGCTATTGGGCAGCTAGTGGAGGTTTGCAACTGGAGACTAACGTGACCTGATGAATGTGTTCAAATATTACTCCGGCTGTTGGGCAGGGAATAGACTTTGAGGAATAGGAATGAAAGTGGAGGCCAGTTAGGCAGCTGCTGAAGTAGAACGAGATGATGAGGAACTTGGAGGCGGGTGGCATCCTTGCAGCACTGTGAGAAAGGATTTGGGGATATCCTTTGGGAAGGTGGAGCAAAGGTGATTTGTTGATGGAAAGGACAGGCTTGACAGAAGGTGAGGGAAAGAGAAGATTCAAGGTCGACGCCTAGATTTTTAACCTGACATTGGAGTCTGTGACCCCTTCCCTACTCCCAACATGTTTTCGAGACCTCAGCCTGGCAAGAGCAGGTGGCACAGCTCCTGAGTGCTCAGATCACCTGATTGAATCCTCACTCCAGCCCTCAGGCAGGGGCGGCTTGCCCTCATCTCACAGAGAAAGGTGAAGCTCAGAAAAGCCATGTAACCAGCTCCATGACAAAGCTAGCACATACCTGAGCTAGACCTTGACTTACAACCAAGACCTTTGGTACCAAAGCCTTGCTTCTTTTTCAAAGTGAGAAACGGAGGCTCCTGGGAACCCCTGGGAAACCGAGGCATGTGGTTTTGCATGAGTTTCTGTGCTGGAGTTCTCGTATGGTATGGATGGTGTAGGACACTGGTGTTCTGCCCAGCCCTGGCTACTCCCAGTCTAGGTGAAGGGACCTGTGCTCTTTCCTACAGACCCGGCTTCCAGGGCCCCATCTCCCAGTTCCTCCAGGGCAACCAGAGGCCTCCCTTAACTTTTCGGCCACACTTACAATAAGGAGTGAATTGCATGCTGGTGACAGTGAAGGACTGGAGGGTGTTTCTTAGAGCTCACCCTGCCCCATGGAGCTCAGCTTCTCAATCCCCCAGCCAGGGGCTATTCTGCCCACGTTATAGGCCTTGTGCCCATGAAGGCTTTAGGCTTGCTAGCCTGGCCTGGCCTGTACCCACTTCCTTTTTGGCCCCAGTGCTTTGGCCAGGCTGGTAGTTAAAGTTCTAAAAGTTTAATGAGGAAACCCCCTTTTCAGGAAGCTTTTTCAGAGAAGACAGTCTTTAATAATGGATCTCTCACCTTCGACACAAAACAAGAACACAAAGAAAAACTCAAATCATAGGAAATGGGTGACTATATTTTAATGAATCAAATTCTGGAATCCTCAGTTTCAAATGATCCCTAAGAAAACTTCAGGAAAGATATACATTTGACTGCGTGCAGATCCTCTTATTCCTGCATTTATCTTGACATGTACTAAAGGCTTTATGTGTACTGATGAAAGGTGAGGAGAGAGGGGCAAATTAAACTCCTAAGATAAATAGTTTTGAAGACCGAATGAGAGTAAATCAGAAGTTTTTAAATGAAACTTTACATCCTTGACGTTGCTACAAAAGGTTTCTTTCTGATTTGCCATCACAATAACCTGAAATACAGAAAACAAGGCCATTAATGACAGAAAGATGGACTCTGTTTATGTAGATAACAAATATCACGGTGGCATTAGAGCTGCCTTCGTTCAGCAGATTCTCTGTGCAAATACATCAGAGCAGATGGCAACCCTCAAAGATTGAAGTGGTTGTAATTCATAAACACCCTCAGGGCTGTTTCTGAAACCCTTTGAATTTCTCTAGACTAGGACCTGCTGTATGAAATAGTGCTTCCTTTATTTCTCTTAAATTTGCCTCACTGCATTTCAAAGTGTTGGGGTGCTCATTCTCCTGTTTCAGTTAGTGGAGACCAAGTCAGCCTGAACTCAGCCACATTATTGATGGTTTTGTTTTTGATTTTTTTTGGGGGGTGGGTAGGTACTGGGTCTCACTCTGTCTCCCAGAGTGCAGTGGCATCATCACAGCTTTCTACAACCTCTATCTCCTGGGCTTAAGTGATCCTCCTGTCTCAGCCTCCCAGAGTGCTAAGATTACAGGTGTGAACCACTGCACCTGGCCTGTTGGTGGTTTTAAAGTATTTACCATGTCGGCTCGGCACCTGTGGCTCAAGTGGATAAGGCGCCAGCCACATACACCTAAGGTGGCGGGTTCGAATCCAGGCCCGTCATGCTAAACAACGATGGCTGCAACCAAAAAAACAGCCAGGCGTTGTGGTGGCACCTGTGGTCCCAGCTACTTGTGAGGTGGAGGCAGAAGACTCGCTTGAGCCCAGGAGTTGGAGGTTACTGTGAGCTGTGATGCCACGGGACTCTACCCAGGGTGACAGCTTGAGGCTCTGTCTCAAAAAAAAAAAAAAAGAAGGTGTTTACCATGTCTCATATCATGTGTCACCAGGTGGTAACCCAAGGGACTTCAGAATCACAAAATTCTAGATTGTATCCAACTCAGCCACCTACTAAAGATCTTGGAGAACTTTCTTAGTCTTTATGTTCTTGTCAGTACGATGTGGATAGTAGGAGTATCTGCTCTGGAAGGTGTCTGCAGTGAGATGATGTAGGTCAAGGCCTCAGCAGGGCACCCAGCTGAGGTGACATCCTCACCAGCCCCACAGTTAGGCTGTCTCAAGGGTGGGGTTTTTAAATCTTATTTATGTTTGTGATCTGAGTTCATAGCTGCTTGGTGTACTAGGTCACTTAGATGGTCCTTTTTTTTTTTTTTGCCTTTTTTGGCCAGGGCTGGGTTTGGACTCCACCACCTCCAGCATATGGGGCTGGCACCCCACTCCTTTGAGCCACACGTGCTGCCCTAGATGGTCCCTTTTTTTCCCTACCTTTTAGCATCACCCTAATTGGACTTTGAAATGCAGTTTCCCATAGGAAGGAGTGTCCATTCCAAATACATGTGTACTTTCTTCCACAATGTTCCTGGCTTTGAAGTCATGATTAGATAAGGGTAGTATCGATAAAAAGATCCTACATCTGTTTTAAGGGATCTCAAAAAACCCAAGTGAGGAAAACCAGCTACCAGTATTTGGTTTCATATAGAAAAGAGAACGTTTGTTGAAATCATTCTCTTTTGAACTTCCTAGGTTCATGTCTCTGAGTTTTTAAATCAATGGCCACGTGAGCTGCCCACCTCTTCACTGGGCTACTCAATCCCCAAACAATATTAATTCCATCAAACTGGATTTTTTCAGTAGTGTAGACAGAGGTGACCACAGAAATGGCCTAAGGTAGCAGAATAAAAGGGAAAGTGTGTCATCCGCAGCAGAAATTCTACTTAAAGGCCTTTGCTCACCTCCTACTTTAGCCCCATGATAAGGTCAGTGAAAGATCTGGTCAAAATGATTGAGATGTGATCTCAGAGGGGTCCCTGGCCCTCTGGGGCCCCCCAGACCCTCTGCCTTCTCTTGAGTGCAGGTGAAATGCACTGCACTGGTGCATGGGCCCCGGCTCTCCGGCCCCTAGGGAGAGCCAGGCAGTGCCTGCACCCCACTCACCATTGTGGGTGATCAGCCTGTACTGCCTGGCCAGGCACAGCTCCTCCTGCCGCTGCCTCACGATCCTCTGTGCATCGGGGGTCAGGCCTCGGGGGTCACGGGCAAACACGAAGGAGTAGCTGTCAGCACAAGTGCCGTCAATGTTCAAGAGGCGGCAGGAGTACTGCACGGCGTAGGTTTCGTAGTCGGTGTCAATGATCCAGTGGTCATCGTCTGCAAGCCAGACCCATGGGGCCCATCAGTGCCTCTCCGGTGCTGGGTTCAGAGGTCAGGGAAACCGATTCCCAGGCCTCAGAACCCAATGGCTTCCTAAAACTGGTATCATTTCCTTAGGAAGCAGGAGACTACAGAGAGTCTGGACAGCTTTCATAAAACTGGTCAAATCAGGAAGAATCTTGTTCTCTTTTACAGAAAAAAGTCCTGGAGTCAGAGGGATCTCATTCACTGCAATGATAATCTCTCATCCTGATGACAAATGTGAGGGCATCTTTCCAAAGAACCACCGAGAATGTGGGCCCATGAAAACCACAGGATAAACCTTTCTACTGTTGTCTGAGCCATCTACCCTCCAATGATTCTTGAGTCTTCTGTGGCTAATGTGTGGCCGCCACCAACTTATGTTACCTTCACCATCAGGATGCACCTTTTCAATGATCTCTTTCAGCTGGTTCCTAGTCATCTCACTAACCACGCTGCCCTCTTGCCTCTCTACCTGCTGCTCCCATGGCCCTGCTCTCCGACTCCTTCCTAATTCCTGCAGAGTGATTCCTTACTTCTCCATGCTGGCAACACAGTAGGTTTTGCTGGGGGGCACCAGGTGCCCACCATTTGGCATCACACATTCCCCTTAGGGCTTATACTCTTCAACACTCCCCTGATGGAGGCAAAGCCAAGTCCTTGAAGAATTTAGAGTGTATGTATTCCTCAAGGCTGAGACATAAGCCATGCAGAACAGGTTTAACTTAAGGTGGTAAAAAATACCAACAGAGGCAGGAGGGGAAATAATGTTAGCAAGACTGCAGGTGAGTGGGTTGCCACAGAGAGAAAGCAGGGTTAGGCTTATCCAAATTTGCTTATTCAGATAAAAGTGCCACTTGTCCACTTCATTTGATCTTCTTGTCAGCATAAAACCAGGGCTGGGACTTTCTGAGCATTTAATTATGTGCCAGTTGCTGTCTGGACACTTTCCATATGTGCTCATGGTTATTTCTCACATTCTCTATTTTACAGATAAGGAAACTGAGGCACAGAGTCACTAAATAATTCACCCAAGGTCACAGAAGGCAGGGCAGCCCTGGGATTCAAGCTCCAGAGCCCACATGCTTAACCCTTTTACCACATCCTTTCCAGCAGTAAGCAGATCGAGGGTGGGGAGCCGAGAAACAGAAGGCTTTGTGTCTCTGTCCCCCACCCAGGTCTTGGAGCAAGGGGAGCTCTACACTGTGTAGTACTCCAGTCAGAGGAGGGGGCTGGGTCCCCCGGCATTAGAGGGTGTGAAGCCTCTGGGTGTGACTCTCTGAGAACCCCTGGGGTGATGCCCAGGCATGGAATCAGCCCAAACCAGGCCACACAGGAGGACTGTCACAGTGGTGGGTGTGGAGCCCTCTCTTTAGCTAACCAGGTCCTGCCAGGAGGGAGAAGGAGCCACCTCTGTGCCACCCAGGCTGTCTCAGGCTAAGTGTCAGAGCCCTGGGCACGGGGTGAGGGGTGGGGGTGCGGCAGTGAGAGGTGATGCCCCAGACTGATGACAGGTCAGCAGAAACCACAAAGTTACTCACAGAAAGGCCAGGAATAGAGGCCACGTGGACCTCACCCTAACCGCCGGCTCCTCTCCCAGACTCCTAGCACCTGGGCAGAGTCTTCCTCGTCCCTTGATGAAGTCACTTCTTCCCTGGTCATGGGGATCACTGTGCCAGTTGCAGGCGCCTCAGGAGTCTGCCTCTCAGACACAAAAACACTCGCCTTTGAAATGTTACTTGACTCAAGCTATTAGCTTGGCAAATCCACAGCTTGAATTTTCTTTTTTTCCAAAATTGTTGCCAATTGTCATGAATTCTGACATAAGAACTAGGTAACTTTCAATGGTTGGATTAGTAAAATTGGCTAATGTTCTTGACTTTAAAAGAAGGCCTAAGTTGGTTTGGTTAATTTCCAGGCTCTTTTGGACAAACAGTTCAAAGATGTAGAATTTAAATCATAGCAACCTTGACCAGACTCTCCCTTCTAAGAGTATTTGTAAAAACTGAACTGCCTGACTGTGGCTAGAGAGAATGAGATTGGTTCACCAAGCTCCCTGCTCCAGCAGCTGGGCAGGGCTCCTCTGGAGAACCAGACACCCCCAAACATTTCCAGACAGCAGCTAACTCTATGGAGTGGAGATGGCAAGAGAGAGTGCTCGAGGCAGCAGCTGGGAGTCCCTGAGTCCCTCCACCATCAGGGAATGGGGTTACACTGCCTCTGCATCTGCACTGTACTCACACAGACTGGTTTAGAGGACTGGACTGTCAGTCCAAAACCTGAAGAAAACCCTGGGTTGCAGAAGCTGTCTCTGGTGGACTGGTTCCATGGAAGATCTGTCACTCACTGTAGGCCTGGACTATGGCCCTTTAGCACCCTAGATCTATGTCCCTATCATCTAAAGTGACAAGACCAGATGAGAAGCTTCCTGTATTTCTCAGGCCTAAGGACCCATCTGAGCCAACCAGGCTAGAGATTTAACTCTACTTTGGACTACTTGTCGAAATAACCCAACAGGCCCCAGCAAACTGAATGGAGTCTGAAGACTTGATACCTAAGTGAGCCAAGATAAGTCTTTGGATTAAATTATCTAGACCAATGTTCCTCAAACTTCCCTGTGCAGAAGGAACATACCAAGGAGCATACTTTAAAAGGCAGACTCCAGGGCCCTAACCTAGAGTTTTTGAGTCAATAAGTCTGAGTTTAGACCCAGAAATCTGCATTTTTAATAGTGCCTCCTCCCCCACCCCCACCAGTTGATTTAGATATAGGTGGTCCAGGGACGCTGACTTAGTAAAACACTGATGTAGACATTCAGGCCTGCATTAGTTTTCAGACTGACAAGGGCCCCTTTGCCAGTAGAATGACAACTTTATGTGGGAAAAGGACAAGAGGAGAGGGCCCCAAACAATGATGGTCATAGCTAATATCTGTTGAGCATTTATTACGCAGTAGGCTAAGCACTTTCATTAGTTAGTCCTGCCAACAAGCCTATGAAATAGGAACTATTCTTTATGCCCATTGCGCAGCTAAGGAAATCAAGTTTCAGAGAGGCTAGCCTGTATTCACTCCACACCTGCCAACAGCGGCATCCTGAACCCCTGAGACATCCTGCTTGCTGCCAGCAGAGCTAGGAGGGAAGGAGACCAGTACGGGGTACGCCCACGGCTGGGGCAGCAAGCCATGGCAGCGTGTGTCAACACAGATATGTCATGTTCAACTGCAGAGGTGAGTTACATTTAATTTTTTAATAATTAGACAACAAATTTAATAAGCATTGGCCCGTGAGTTATTTTCTGTTCATAAGTGCACTCATTTTAAACACATCCATTTGGTGTGAGGCAGGGAGGGATTGAGAATGCATGCAGCTCTCTGAGTGGCCTTCAAATCCGCCTGTCCAGGTCATTGTTCAAAGCAAGACCAAGGTCAAAGAAGAAATGGGCACAAGGGATGAGAGCAGAGTTTTCAAAGAAGACCCCCAAATAAGCACGTAAAACAGAGGAAGGAACTCCACCAAGTATTACAGTTTGTGAGCTACTCAGAAAACAGAATGATAGTTCATGGCATTTATATTCCTACAGCTAAGAGGTGCCACCAAGTGCCACTGATTAGTTGCATGTTCCTGGGTCAGTCACTTCTCTAATATGAGCCTCAGTTGCTTCACTTGTAAAATGAGAGACTCGAACCCAGTGGTCTCTGTGGGTTCTCCCATTCTAGACTCAGAATAGAAAGCTATGATTTAATGACCAGGGAGATAATGAAGGTGCAATAACATCAGGCACTTACAGTGCACTTGGGTCTTGGGCACTGTTCTGAGTGCTTTCTCCACCTTAACTCATTGCATCTTCATTATACAACTCATGAGGTAGGTGCTATGATCATGCCACTTTGCAGATGAGGAAACTGAGGCCCTCAGCAGCTCAGGAACCTATCCCACGAGTAGTGCTTGAGTTGGGATTTGAATTCAGGCTGCCTCAGTTTAACACTGCACAGCTTCTTTTCTCAAAGGTAACCTAAGAAGGAATTCATCCTTACACCTTCCATATTATAGTGATCTCAATTACTATCTCTGGCAATCACTTTCAAGATTTCAATACTGTTATTTTTCTTCCAAATGACATCCTAGGTAAAAAGGCCAATATGTGAGAGGCAAAAACAGAGCTAATCTGGTTTAGTAGGGGGAGGAGGAGGGAAAGAGGTCTTCCCAGACCTGTCCCTAAAGGCACTGCTGATAGAATCCTAGTCCTTTAAGGGGATCTCAAAATGTCACAGAGCATTTCGTATTCACACTTTCTTTCTCTCTCTCTTTTTTTTTTTTTTTTTTTTTGAGACAGAGTCTCACTATGTTGCCCTCAGTAGAGTGCTGTGGCATCACGGCTCTCAGCAACGTCAAACTCTTCCACTCAAGTGATTCTCTTACCTCAGCCTCCCAAGTAGCTGGGACTGCAGGTGCCCACCACAACACCTGGCTATTTTTTTGTTGCAGTTGTCACTGTTGTTTAGCAGCCCCGGGCTGGGCTCAAACCTGTTAGCCTCAGTGTATGTGGCTGGCGCCCTATTCACTGAGCTACGGGTGCCCAGCCATGTTCACATTTTCTAAAAATTAGTGATCTTGTACCTCTGGCATTGACTTTCGTAATCCATTATCAGAAAAGTATATCTCTCACTCTACACAAATCACTTTGAAAAGTTTTGCTATACTACATAAAATACTTTTTATTACTTCTAAGGATAAAAGTTTTTTCCCTTTGAGGTGCAGCAACCTCATGTCATTTGCACAATGTAAATCCAAATGAAAATGTAATGTGACTTTTAGAAAGTTCTATTTCACCCAACAGACAACTTTGGAGGAAGTCAGTGACTGTGTGGCATGTGTAGAGAGCTATGGTTACATAAAGGACACTTCTGCTCTGGATCACTGTATGAAGAGAGACCCCCTGAAGGACTCCCGGGTTCTATCTCACAGGAGAACTCACACATACTTTAGGAAAGATGGTCTGTATTAGAAGTCCCTGCAGTTCAGGGCCTCCTAATCCTGGCCTGGGAGTTGGAACCCCTGGCTTCTGACGTTGGCTCTCACAAACTTGTTGCATCACCTTGGACAAAGCACTGCCTTCTCTTGGCTTTAGTTTATTTATCTCTATACTGAACCTCCTTGGTAGGGTGAACTCTCTCTCTCTCTCTGATACCATGATAGGAATCCCTAGCCGACATCATTCTCTAGCTACCAAGTAGACTCCAGATTTAAAACTTAGGAGAACTGGGATGGGGCAGATGGAAACAGCAGGCAGATATTGTGTTCTCTTGATTAGGTCAAGTTTTAGGATGTTCTAAGAGTATTCAACATGCCTCACCCCCCGCCCCCAATCTGAATCTGGGGCTTAGAGGACACTGCCACCCAGAACTCTGTGCCTGGCTCAGAATCTCAACATAGCAGGCAGAGTGCTCCGGAGTGAGCCAACTCTATGCACAACTCTTTCTCCATCATTGGATGGGTGTCTCTCAACCTCTGCTGGGGCCCCAGAGAGTCAAGCTGTCTCCAGGATTCACCCCAAAGAGAAAAAGGAGATGCAAAGCCAGGTGGAGAGGCGATGTGGGAGGCGGGACAGGAAAGCACAGAGCCAGTTACACTCCTTGGCACATTTGCCCGCTGGGAAAATGGCACCTGATAAACTGAAAGGTCCTTTTCAGTTGGGACCAGGCCTCCTGACTGGGGAGGTGCAGAAGGGGGGCTGACTACTCTCAATCATGCCCCTAACCGCAGGCGGTTCTGAGAGTTCCTGTCCTTCACAGGCCTTCTCACAGGCCATTCTTCCCAAGGCTGTCACTGGAGAAGAGACCCAGAGATTTGGCCAGGTACGGCCTCCAACCCGTTCCATTCAGCTAACTACTCACTTCCTTTCTGAAGAAAGGAGGCTACGCCCCAGTACTTCATCTTGAACTTGGCAGGGTCCTCGGTATCTGTGAAGGTGCCCACCATGTCTGCGCACACGTCCCAGTTACTGCAAAAGCCAAGAGGATCCTGAGCCAAGCCTGGCGAAGGCCTCCCTCCCTCCATCCACCCCAGGGGCTCTCTTCTCTCCCTCATCAAGGTCTGACACTCTGCAAGGGGGGCCCGGGACCATGGAGCGAAAAAAAGCGCACAGCTAGCTGCCCAGGGGTCACTGACTTCAAAAGACGCACTCGGCCCTTGGCCGTGGCGCTCATCTGGCCATGCTCGTCCACAGAGAACTCGGCGACGATGTTATCCTGCAGAAAGAGGCCCTCGGGGTCCTTCTTGGCCATGGCGTACCAGATGCCAGCGAACTGCAAAAGGGATGAGAGCAGGGGTCTGGTGTCTGGGGGTGCACGGCCGGCGGCAGCGACGGATGCGGGGCCGGGGTGGGGGTGGGGGGGTGACCCGGGCCACCAGGGCCGCCCAGGCGGATACCTACGCGAGCCTTGTCGAAGTTCTCCTTGACTTGGAAGCTGCTCACCCGGCAGTCGCGCTCCGCCCGGCCGCTGCCCAGCGCCGCCAGCAGCAAGAGCGCCCACATCCACTTCATCTTGCCC